CCACCACCCGTTACATAGCGCAAAGTATAATCAGGATTATAAAGTCGGAATCGATTCCATCTTGCGGATACGCTTATATATCGCACAGAGTAAAATTAAGTTGGTAAAGTCGGAATAGATCGGCGTAAAATCATAATTTGCATCAAGCGACTGAACGTTACCAGACGTAAACCACACGAGGATATATTACATTTGAGACTTAGATTTTCTATTTAGATTTTTTAGACAATTTTGCGCTCATTGCTTTCACTTTTTCGCTGTCGAATGCACACAGCCTAGATCGATGCATACAGCCAAGCGTTCAAAAAAATGATATTTCCGACAATTGAAATAAGTATGCGTTATGGCTAGTTTCTACAACAGAATATACGTCTTTTCAGAATGAAAGTTCATATCATTTAAGCAGTTTAAAATACTCTCATTACCTTATGGGTCAATTTGGAATCTTTCTAAGACAAATTTCATTACAGAACACACAGTTAAGTACCTTCAGAAAGTATTAAAATGTTTTAACTGCATTACATGACATTCACAGCAAGCTTGAGAAACTGGTTTTGAAATCGATTTCCATGGAGATGTCAACCAGAAAACAAGCATTGAAAAAATAAAATTTATTCGATACAGACTGGATAAAAGATATGAAAAGATAGTCATCAGAATCAGCTCCCCCTTACCCCAAAATCTTTCGATTAATGACGAGCAATTTCAGGTTGCCAATATTCACCCAACAGCCAACTAAATCGCAAATTTAGCTGCTGAGTTATACAGGGAGAAAGAAGGATTTATTTTTCCTTAACTAAAAAACGAGCATTGTAACAACAATAGAAATATACAACATTTGCAAAGTTATTTGGTATAGACTTGAGGGAGCAATACAACCATCAGAGTCGATGAATTTCATCCTACATCAAATCATTCCTAAATTGATTTTTAAACCAAAAATAAGAAATCACTGTCACCAATTTCAGAAGTATATGAACATGTGTTTCAGGCCCCTTAATGATGACAATCAATTGAACTGAAGCATATAGTAGCATTTCACAATAGGAAACTGAATTTCCAGCTGAATGAGCAAAAGAATTGGTAATCCTGTAGTGTGTATACCAGGTTAGGGCATAATTTTATTCCAATTGTAGTTCTATTACGGGTTCGAGGACTGTCTATTAGCCAAGTGAATATACCCCTGCCCATAGGTTCCAGTGCCTTTACACCATAGGTTCTCAGAGTGCTACATACGGAGTCTCGGGCTCTGTAAGAGAATCCTGGCGGCTCCGCGCGCTATTCGTTTACATATTAAAATACTGACATGAAAATTTTGTAACTGTCCAAAGAATCAATAACGGAATCAATCAAATTTGACAACGGTAGTGTCAAAAAGTGACAAGGCGGTAATTTAAAAATGAAATCACCCATAACTTTCAATGGATATATTTTTTTTAAATTTATTTTGGGGCTTCATAAATAATAGTCAACCTCATCACGGGTTCCAGAACACCAGAATTTGAGGAGCCCTGATTTACACAACTTGATGTAAAATAGGCAAACAAAATTAGTTACTACCAACATATACCATATTTATTGGCGAGTAATTGATTTGTTTTGCAACCCCTTATACTGAAATACGGGAAGCAGTACTTTACAATAACAAATTAAATTTCAAGCTGAATGACTGGAAGACTCCGCTTGCACTCGTCTGTACAGAGTGAAGTTGGGAAACAATTAATACAAAACTATTGCAATTAATAGGCAGCACCAACATGAGTTGTAGGATTAAGATAATCTGGTAAGTGAGTGTCGAAGTGGGTGCAAATTGACTGTGTTGGCATCACAGCTTACACTCAGATTCAATTCCCATATCCACACTTCACCAAGTGTGTTATAAATTGGGTAAGCAATGCCAGACCAGAAAATAACAGTAGCTTCATACATATCATAAGATATCAGTGGATTCTTGGACAGACCCCCATTAGAAGAGAAAGACATGAATGGGCATAGCATTAAAAGTTCTTAGGACCCGAGTAACATTTCCCAACCAAAGTTAGCCCAATAAAATGACTAAATCGAATTAAAGCTTCGTGTTCATGGACCTGTGCCTGACACTTGGATAAATAAACTTTTCAAACATTTGAAGAGTGAGTGCTGAAGCGCAGCTGCTTTAAATGTCCTGCTGTTTATTCCTTCCCGATCCATCTATGGTGGAATCATTATAAAATCATTATAAATCATTATAAAAACCTCCCGAAAGAGATAAAAATGACTGATAAATTGTTCAAAGCCATGGGGTATCATTGAAAACCCCTTCTGCCACCCAATAGCAGAACCTTCATTAGATAAATCAGCCGTTTGTGTATCAAGTCGAAGTAATCTCTACTGCCACCAAGTATCATCGCTCAGGTTATAAACTCTGTTGCCGTTACTTCCTTTTTCTTTGTCTATAATATTTTTTATGAATTGTCCAGTCTTTTTGTTGACAAACATAACCGCAATATCTGAGTTGTTGGCAGTGGCCACATACACTGAATTCACGAATCTGAACAAGAATTATGACTGTCAAGGCCAGTTGACAATATGTGTGGTTTATTTCTATCAGTAGAAAACAAATTGTACAAATGACGTCACTAGAGCAGTGCTGGTTAAACTTTTTTGCAATGGTACACTCTTATACAGTGGTTCTCAAATGGTGGGGCGAGCCCCAAATGAGGGTGTTGACAATTTTTTGAAGGTGAGTGACGATAATTAAAAATGCAAATATATGATAGATTTGGATATTTACATTTCTTTATTTTGTATATTTACGTTCCATCCACATATTTTCATTGTGTTTTTTCAATAAAACATAACTATCTGTTATTTGTAGCTTATTGTCAGCTTGTTATTTTTGAGGTGAGACACGCGGCTTGACAAATTCTAAAAAAGGGAGCCCTGCCTTGAAAAGAACCACTGCCCTAATGTGACCCACTCAAAGTCTGCTGCACCAAGTCCACCTGCCAGTCGGTAGAAAGTACCAATGCTTCTTGGTACGCATACTACAAGAGTACCCATCTGTGTGTAGCGGATGATGGTTTGCCTACTCCGAAAAGAAGTTGAACTAATGAATCTTCTCATGTGTGAATCATCTTGTAAAACAGTCAATTGCAGGGTTGCTACGTTTTGTTGGAAAGAGCCTCCTATTTATTCAATTCATTTTGATCAGAGTCCAAAAATTTCTCAGTAGGAAATCTCGCTGCAGGATATTTCATCATATATGGTTAGGGTATGCTCTTAAATAACAAATCTTTTTTAAATGAAAATATTCTTCAAAAACCTAACTGTTTTTATCACAAATACTTGTTTACAGCAAAATGCTCTTGCAGCGATCTTTCCTATGCGGCACAATTTCCTAAACCATTTTATTTGCTTCATGTGAGATCAGAATCAATAATTAATCCAACTCTATCATGTCAAATAGGGAAATACGTATCTCGTGTTCTATATTCGTACATGGAGGGTAATTGCATTCATAGAAATGTGATTTTACTCTATCATGTATAATAGGGAAATACGTATCTCATGTTCTATATTCGTACATGAAGGGTAATGGCATTCATAGAAATGTGATTTTACTCTATCATGTATAATAGGGAAGTACGTACCTCGTGTTCTATATTCGTACAAGGGGGGTAATGGCATTCATAGAAAGTAGCGCCATCGTCCCCCTCCTCGATCAATTCTCCGTTAGCATCGTAATATTTCGTCACGTTCAACTCGGAAAAATGTTCATCGATGGGGTCGTTTGGCAATTGCTGGATTGCGAGGTAGTAAATTGATGTGTCACTAGTAGGAGAAAAGAGTTTTATTAGACACATTGGGCCAATCATGTTGTGTTATCTGTGGACCGTAGGGATATGCAATGTAGAAAAATTTACTTCTCTAGGATATTCTAGAATACTTGAATTGAATCCTATTCTATTTTTTTTGTTATTCAAATAGTGGGGAATTCCCCTCCAGCATTGCTTGAATAAAACTTGGGCAAAATTGTAAATGTGTTACTGTCTTAGCATTTAATGGATTTTATTTAGGACAATAAAATTTGTAAATTTTGACAATTATTTCATTGTCTGATCAAAATTCATGTGATACCCAAATACTGATATGCTAAATTAAGACTTGCATTATATACTTCAATAAGAAACTGTGGGATACAAGAAATAGATATGGAACAGCATATAATAATTGTTGATGTGACCGTGAATGCTGAGAATTTATTACATGCAGGGCCAGCGTGATGCATATGCCGCCTTAGCGGGTACCGCTATTGGAGGGCTCGCATAAATTACTGGTGTAAATTATTCAATTTGACCACTGTCATATTTGGGCAGGCGTGTTTATTTTGTGCGAGCATGACTCTTATAATAAAGTTATTATCTACTTAGTAGTATCAAAAGATTCATTTTCTTTTACAAAATCTGGATTTTTTGTTCTTATCGGTATATATCCACCCAGACTTGGTGCTACTCAATACGTGTTTGCATGATTCTTGCAATTATTAGGCCGCATGTAATTTTCATTTTCACCAAATGCGGCAACATTTTTTGGTTTATTATCAACTCAAATATCACAGACACTCGACCAAACGTATGTCGATCTTAGACGATAGAATTGTTGACATGGCTTTATAAAATATGTAATCTTTTGGAAATTTAAAATAAATAGGTCAAGTGCCTTGTTTTGTATATTCGGAAGAGACCTGTCATGAAAGTATTCAAGTTATACACAAATAATATTTGATCGAAATAATCACAAAATATGGTAAAACATTTAATGCCTGGCTTTTGCTTCACATTCTTCACTTGCAGGAGAAATCGTAGTCTGCGAAAAATCTTTGAATGGATAATAATGGACAATAAAGAATTGTAGTCGAAATATTGCCATCGAGTCTGCACCAATAACTTTTATATGCCCATTTGACCCCACTTTTTATTAGTTAGTTTTACTTACTAGTCGGTCTTGTTTTTCTTTTTAATGGAGAACTTTTATTCTAGCGAACCGACCCCAAGATGTCTGCTAACTTGCAATGGATGATCATCAGAAACAATTCTTGTTTCTTGTTGAAGCGGAACGACCAGCAATTCACAACAGAATTAAATAATTTGAAAAACAAGAACAGTTACAGGTTCGCTTCATTTTATTTACAATGATAAATGTTTCCAAGACTTCAGTTTTTGTTTCAGTGGTCGGCCATATCTTTGCTCAGGGATGACTCTTTTTCATCAATTGAGCGGTCGTAATTCTGCTCAGATATCAGTCTCCTTTACTTCTGAGTGAGTACTTGTAAAAGCCATCAAAATAATCTTACCATTTGCGTCTTCGTGACTCCTTGAACACGGATTTTGCTTTGACTGAAATTGAAAGCGAAAAAAGGAAGTGACTTGATGATGAAATATCCGTGTGCTTGGTAACAACGACAGCCCGTTTTAATCTTATTTATTCGTCAAAATGCGCACATCCGTCACATTAAATAAATTTGTTTAAGGCTTTTACATGAGAATATTTAATATATAAAATATTCGAAATTAATTGCACAGGCTGTAACTACTTCATAGTGCTGGTTAGAAGTTCCTCAACTCAGGGTTACAGGTCATTCGAATCTCGAGTTGAGTCTCACTGGCAGTTAGTTGTCCATTCCATTTAGACAAGTCCAACTCTAGTCAAGCCTATGTCACGTGCTTTCCTGACAATGCTGATTAGTAACTTTTCCATCTTTCTAGATTCAACGGTCTCATTCACAAAAAAACTGTCGGAGTGGAAGCGGATCCCGAAGGCAAGGGGGTTGTCCTGGTAACCAAGAAAAAAGGAAGTGAGTTTGACCTAAGTTTAATGCGTTTGCTCAATATTGCTCTCGTGTGACAAATGCTGCTTTTGGTGTAAACGTTAGGATGATGACCGATTCTCAAGTTTGGCTCAGAGAGAGCTCAGGTCTTCTTTACATCTAAGTACGGGTGGTCGTCTGTAGGGCTGTCCAAATTCGAATAATTTTTTGATTCGAATCGAATATTTTTGCGAATCGAACCGAATAATCGAATATTGTTGCGCAATCCTGAATCTGTCTCTATTATACAATAACCGCCTACCCTTCAATGTTATGGTAACATATGTGCAGTTACATCTTACTTACTGCTGGTATTTTGCAATACAATGATTTCAGATGAAAGGTGATCAAACACTTGCATGAACTGGTCAAAAAAAAGTGGAGGACTCCAAAATTTGGGTCTCAAACTGTTGAGTGTTAAGAGTAAAAATTGCACAATTCAAAAATTGCAATCTCAATTCTAATGGATTCAGTTTTAATAGGACATGTAAAGTCTGTAAATGCTATTCTAATCCTATTCACTAGTCTCATGTTTTTTTGTGTAATTTTCAGCAAAATAATAACAACCATTAATATAGATAAAACTGTTGCTCAAAATTAAAATTGCATTTAACAAATTCGAAGCTAGTTTGATGACTATAATATGCAATCAAAATTCAAGAGTGCAATTATTTGTCTTGGTATATAGATTGATAATACAGTGTTGCCATCATATAAAATTACATATTCCATTGAAAGAAGGTATTGCCATCATAAGGATCTCAAAACACCTGTTTCAGCTTTGAGTTGCCTGTACCGAGTTCTTATGATAACTAACTCAACAGCTTCAAATCGATTCTATTTATAGAACTATCGTTTTCTAATTTGCCCTTTTTTCTCCTTGTGTACTCTCTCAAAAACGTCATTACAGATTATAACTCATAAGTTATTATGACCATGCATGAAATGGTGTACTCTCTTAAAAACGTCATTACCGATTTTAAGTTATGATGACCATGCATGAAATGGCTGATCACGTGCCACCGGGTGGGCATTAGTAATGACATGTTTATCACAAAATGAAGGCGAAAGAAATATCGGGAAACCAATTAAGCCGGGAGCGAGAGTGGTCTAAGCTCGAAGCGCCGCCACTTGTCCGATGAGAAACGTCCTGCAAAGGTGGTTTCCGCTTTTTGTACCTAATTTTAGTGATTCGGAAATTAGCCGAAAAACGATTCGAATAATTTGCGATTCGATTCGATTTCGAATACTTGGTTTGCTTGGACAGCCCTAGTCGTCTGGCAAATTCTCTCTTGACTACTGCTTTTTTGTAGTTTTCATGTTTGTGTGGGTGAGTTTTATAGTAAGGCTTGCTTGATACATTTCATCCTGAATAAGACTTTGTATGATCAGTCACTCACACATAGAACCGGAATCTTTCTGGTTCAGCATTGCCCAATTTATTACACCTTGGGTGAGATAGTGTTAATTGGATTTAGACCCGAGATCTTTGCTTAATCTGTGATGCCAACACAGTTAAAACAATCACCACTGATCTTTTATGCCAGGGGTGTGCAACTTGTGAACCAAATGTGGCCCACAAATAAACTGTGCGACTCACGAATAAGTAACAATTTTGAATGGTGTGCGGCCCATGAATAGAGTTTTTAATTTAGTTTGATCTTGCTCTAGAGCAGCGTTTCCCAACCTTTTTTGGTCGCGGGCTTTTTTCTCACCGGCGAAAACCTTTGCGGACTCAGGGTGCGTTTATTGCAACCGTACTCTGTGTGAAGGAGCAATTAAAGCAATTACGTGCTCGTTAAAAGAGCCGACTTTTTTAGTGTATAATGGCCGTTTCCGTCGCACAATATTCAATCCATAACAACGACGACAATTTAAAATATCTTTTTATTTTAATTTAAATGTGTTCATGGTAACTCACGATTGCGTCGACTTACGACAAGATGTAAGCATTACTTCTTCAAAATGCCACGGCAATCTGCGAACATAATAATGTGAGAATACTATTGCCCGATTATATTTAGTTTTGATATATATTTTTTGCAATTTTGCGAATTTGTTATCGCCGTTAGAAAAATCCTATCTGCTATAAAGTTCCAGTAAGTACAACTTGATTTAGCACTTATTAAAAATATATTTGAAGAATATTAGTAAATTAAAAATACAAATTCATCGCCTTGCTTCACTATTAATTTAATTGTGATGATTTTAATCTGCAGTTGTGTTGACGAAATAAAAGCAACGCGTGGTAGTGCCCGATTATATTTTGTTTTGATTCGTATTTTTGTGAATTCTACAAATCTGAGCTGTTCGTACAACACTTATGGCGCAACCGATTCGCACCGGTTCTATAGAACCGTCTCACGGTATTTTATGAAATCAGCGAACCGGTAAGCCTTACTGAAAAAACATGTAACAGAACCGGCCGGAAAATATGACTTTTGTGATGGAACCGCCTGACAATAAATTTGAATCCCACCACTGAGTAGCACCCGAAATTTTGCGTTTTGCAATGTCTAAAAAAGCGTTTTTATTCGGTTGCGGACCATCATAAAACAAAACTTATGGTGTTCTCTGTTTTATTTTTAGTATTTTGTATTGCCGCTTTTCATTCCTTTTTTTTATTCCTCGTTCTTCGAACTCGCGAGAAACACCACTAAGATATCTATCGAAGCGTGTGCAGACTCGTGTTTTCGTCGGAAATCCGCAAGTGAGTTGTGAAATCCAATCGTTTGATCAGGCGACGCGTCACCTGTTACCAAATTTTCGAATAGTATATTGCTATTCTGATAGTTGAGTATTCGAATATATGTCCATTCCTACTCATTAACCAGTAATTATTGTTTCGAATATTGTTATGTGAATAAACTTGCCTTTTATGTTTTATGTCAATTCTAACTTAAATCGTAACTTGGCTGATAATTAAGTTTAGCACAAATGTTTGCAGTCCGCAGTGAATTTCTGGCTCGCTGCGGACTCATTCAAACGCTCCGCGGACTCATTTGAGACCGCGGACTTGGGTTGGGAAACACTACTCTAGAGGTATGTGCATCAAGATGCCGGACACCGATAGGTTAGGGTTAGGCCAACATCTTAGGTACAAATACTACGAGAGTCACTTGGCTAGTCACCGAACTCGTTATAAAACTAAAATAAGGAAAATTGAAATAAAATTATGGCCTAGCCCTAACCTAGTACACATACGACGTTCCGGTGTCCGCCATCTTGGTGCACATACTTCTGGAATGTCGTTTAATCTGGTACCTTCGAGCAATTCCAATCCCGTTGCGTTGCAAAGTCTATATCTGAGCTGGTGTATGATATCATATAAGTATTTCGATTTGAGGAAGTCACTTATTTCTATATGAGGGATGGTGAACCTTTTTCAATGTCACATATTCTATTTTTATTATGGGACTGTTTAGCCAATGTCTGCCCCAATGAGAAACTAAATAATTCTTAGTTGTGTACTTTTGAGATTCACAAATCCTGTATTTATTGGTAATTGGATTAACACTGGCCCTATTGAATTTTTTTCCAACTGAAATGCTAGTACGTTATTTAGCAATATTTCATATATTCTTGCAGGTTACAGAAAACCTAAAACATCTCTTCATAAAGTGACCTTGAACCGGGGTTGGAGAAGGTCATTGAGATCGATCAGACGTACAGTCCGTAAGAATCGGTAAGTTCAGGTCGAATTTCTAGATGTGGCAAGGTAGCCTGTGAGCCAGTGTTCCTATAACCTGGATATTCTCAGTCTCAAACTAAGTTTTTGAATTTGGAAACCATTCACATTGAAATATGTCTATTCATTATGATGTTGCACACAAAGTTGTGTAGCATATTTTCACTGAAGCCTGAGTTTTATCTTTAAACTTTCAGGGAGACATGGACCTGAACATTGTCATTTCGCTGTACCTCTGTCTTGTGTGTTGTACTGTACTGGTATTACTTTAGCGATTCCGAACTGTCATTTTGTCGCACCTTTGTCTTGTGTGTAGAGTTTTACTTTATACTATCTTTCGCACAACTGTATCTTATGCCGACATGGTCCTATATATATCGCGTAACTGTTATAATGCCGATTAATCATGCAGATGCATGTTTTGGGTTTAATAGACAGCAAGCCTGATATTAAAATAATTTAAATACTGTTTCAGGTACAGGAAAGACCTGAAGATGGCAGCAGTGAGACGTGCAAGTGCGATTTTAAAAAGTCAGAAACCTTCGAAGGCTGCGACTGCATGAATTCTTGTCACATCATCCTGAAATAAATTGTGATGTAACAATGGTTGTTTTTTAAATTACTCTGTGGGTGTGCCAAGGCTATTTGGATTGGATTTACATATTTATCTCATAGATAAAAAATAAGATGGCTTAATCATATGTCGAACCACGGTCTCTTGTCAGGTCACCGGTCCATTCCGGAGACTGAATTATTTAGCCAGCAATAAGAAGTCCAGCATTTCTCAGGAATAGCTTGTCATGATGTGCCACACCACCGAGCAGAAAAAAAAAATTTTGTAGTGCTGAGATTTCTAGGAAAATTTATTGTAAACTTCGGTAAAAATTAGGTTCAGATACCCAAATCTGGGTTAGGAAAAAATTTCGACTCTGAATAAAAAAAATCGGTTTTTGAAATGAAAAAATGTTTGTCATGTGTTGGACTTCTTTAGTTGGCTGTTAGTAAGGCTCAACTTAAATTTATTTAGAGGTTGTCTCTAGAGAACTTCAGACTGTCAGTTGTATAAAATTTCGACTCCAGGTGGTTTGAATTAATCTATTGAAAACATGCCGAGCTCCGACTCTGCAATCATGCTTATAGAATACTGAATACCGTGTTCGAGATACTTTTGATTGGTAAGAGCATTTATTGTGGGTGACAATCTCACTCTCATTAAACTTTTCCCACTCGCTATCATCTTTAAAAAGAAGTTGGTGAATCTGCTAAAGGTTAGGAATTGTGGCTCTGTAGGTTCGAATCATATGGGAGATAATGTCATGTGCGGGACTCCTCACCATGGTAGGGTTATGAATGTACATGGTCAGCTGCAGTATCTTTGTGAGATGCATCCTCTCTATGTACAAGCATTCGCTGATATATTTAAGGCAGTGTTTCTTAACCTGGGTTCGGTAGAGTTTTCCCAGGGGTTCGATAAAGGTTTCTTAAAACAGATTTATATATATATTATAATGTTTTTCTGCAAAGCAAGTATAGTTCACCGCAGCTATCCATACCCTCCCCCATTTAGACCACTTTACTGTTTCGCTCTGGTAAACGCTTTATTAATGGACCTGGCAATGACTTCCAACTTGAGACTAAATATATTGGTATCTAAAGTTACACCATAATTATTGAGGTGGTCACAAGTTTGTCAAAAAATTCTGAAATTCCAATCAGTGTTGAGGGACAATAAAGTGATACTCCATCCTCTAAAGATGGTTTCATTTTCCCTTCAACGTTGTTGTGCCCCTGGTTTTAATTGTTAAGAATGTTGGGTTTCGATCGGAGCTCGCGGAATACTGTTGGGGTTTGACCACAGATCTAAGGATTTACCATATTTGGAAGGATCGGAATATTTCAGGTTCAAGATTGATTACCGATTTAAAAATACTTTGATCTGGTGGGCATGGTATTTAGCAATGCCAACATGGCTGGCACTAATGCTCTAGTCACTGGCCATACTAATCATATAGCAAGACAACGCATCATAAAGTATATGTTTCAACAAGAGGTTTATTGAAATCTAAATTCTACATGAAAACTGCTCTATATATACTGATTAATCATGGTCCATACACAATAAACACACTTGTTGAATACAAATGCATTATGAATTACAAAGCATTAAAATAATGAAAATCCACCCTATACAAAATTGATGATTTAGTAAAAAGCAAAAATACCAATTTTAACATTGGCTCATTGGTTAGTTCCAAGAACATGCCATTCGGGATTGAATCCTATGTCAGAAGATGATAGCCTAATATGCAATATGATTGGTGTGATCATTGTTGCAAGTTGACAAGCATACCCAAACATTTATGGCAGGGTTTCTCAAATGGAGTCCTCTAAAATAGTTTTCTTGGAAACATCTTTTGCATTGGATTCTTAGTCTAAAATATGGGATATAAAATATCTAAAAGAAATGCGTTACCAGAGGAACAAGGGTCTTAAGTTCTGAAGTTATTGTAAAGGGCCACAGATTTAGACTATCTTAAGCTATGTCGATTGAAAAAGATTCTTATGCATCTGGAATGTATAATTGTTCAGATATTTCCCAACCTGAAACTGGTAAATATGGCTGTGTCGTCTTATCGGCTTCCCTCTCGCCATGAATTATTATGAAAATCAAAATAAATCATGAAATATTTTTCAGCACGAATACAAATCAAACAATGATCTCTGCTTTATTTGCCACTCTGCACTCATTTGCATATCTACTTGAAAGCAAACTCAGATGTTGGTGATGCCCAGAGAATTAAGGTCGAATGATATTTAATCATAATATAATTCAGAAATGTTCTTATGAAATTTATATGATAGGAATTACTATACAATTTAACTATTTCACATTAAATTTACAGTCCATTCTGAGTTTTATTTCAGGGTCTCAGTGACATAGCAGGGTTTCCCCACATATTACTTCCCAGTTGAGATTTGAATGGAAATGTTCACAAACAATTTACTATCCTGGGAATAGAGCAAAATATAAAAAAAAATATCAATCAGAGAGAGGGTATAATTTGGATATACAGAATAATATTAATGGACACTTTGATCGAATTTTTTGAATTTCAGCATTTGGAATTTTTCGCTGGTTCGGAAAAATGAACTTCACTTGGGCAACGATAAGTCAGTCAAGCTTGAATGACAAGATTATAAATAATTGCTTTTTTTGTTCTGAGTGCAGATATTGATGAATATCCCAGAACTTATTTTCATACTTTTCCAATCAATGAGTGAAATAATAATTAACTGTCATGGCAACAACAGAAATACTATTTAAAATAAACACATGGCTATTTTATCACTACAATCTTACATGGATCAAACAGTAATGGAAAAAATCAGAAAGTGAAAATTAAAGATAAAACAATAGACATTTTACTCATATAACTGAAAATCTAAAATATACATAAATATTAATAATAACTAGGAAAGATTACATAAAAAACTGAATAAGAGATACCAATGACAATATTAGTTTCAATATTGTTTGCCAGCACTAAAGGGTACTCCCAAAGTATGTGTATTCCCATTTTTCTTCTTTTAGTTATATTACGAGCTCTGGGAATGTCAGTGTTAGCCGACTGAATATCCAACTGCCCATAGGTTTCAGTCCCTACACAAATTGATGTAAAATAGGCGAACAGAATTACCTCCATATTGATACACACACTGCTGGAGTGCTCGCTAAAGTATGTTTAAGGGAAAACAATTATGTTCTTTGAAATAGATTACTAAAAAAGTTTTTTATAAGTTGACTCAAAGCGAGTTTGCAAGAACTCAGCCCACCTTAATGAATATTTATTATTGCCTTCACATTATGAAAAAATAATACTGGAAATACAGGCATTCAATAAAGTAACACATAATTAATAAATTATAGAAGATTACAATAAGCAAAGCAAACCAAGAAAAATATACATAAATAAGATACCGTACAGAGCACATGATGAAGCACATTCTACTGAATGAAGTAACCAATCAGATTTTTACGAGTTGGAAGTCACGTTCTTGTTACAATGTAATTCAACATGGAAAATCAATATCATGTTATTTCAAATAATTCAAGTTTGTTATAAGTTCACTCTAAGCGAGTTTGCAAGAAGTGATTGCTGATAAAGAAAATGTAAACACCCACAGATGCGATACATATCTATTTATCAGTGATATAGAGGTGTCAGTGAATACCAGGGACATCAGACTTTCATCCAATGCACTATTTATGGCTTCAACCAGCCTCAATGGTTGTCGTGATGCATTCACCGCATAGGTTCACAAATTTGAATCATCTGTTACAACCATGTGTGAAAGAATTGCTAGACTTCTTGTATTCACAGGATGGTTCATGTTCACTTTTGGTTGATTTGGGCTTTAATTTTATTGTGTCACCTCATCAACTTTTATCCCATATGAGTTTAGTATATAGAGTCCTAAAAACTAAAATAAATGCTAGAATCAGTGCAGTTTGATACATCGTGCTCTGCTACACTTTAGTAATGCATTGCACCACTAATTCCTCCTGTCATACAATTAAGTTCGTCCTTTTTTTGTTTGCTTTATATTTTGTCATATTTCTCATGATATATTTATATTTTGTTGACAAATAAATGATGATTGATTGATTACCGGTAATTGTCACTTCTGGTTGGTTTGGGTTTTCATAAAGTTAAACCACCTCATTAACTTTTCTCTTTCATTGGTCTTATATATCAATGAACTCAACCTCCAGATCAGCGATCAATTCTTTGAACCTTATCAGCTGATCTCTAATAAGTAAACAATTCCTCATCTCCAATGTTTTAACCTGGCATTGATGAACAATTTCACTCATTCTAGTTAACCATTCACGTTCGTTGGGGTTGACCATGTTCCCACACACATCCAAGAATTTTATCTGAAAAAACAGTTGATTTGGTGTTTGGAAGAGTTTGTCATGATCACTGACTTTTGATGGAAATTATTAAGCGAATGTTAAGACGTTGTTTTTTACACAAAAAAGGCAGAGTTTTTCTTAATATAGCTCAGAGTCTACAGCCCTAAAAAGACTATTTTGAGATTAAGTCAAACTCACTGGGAAAATTATCAGTAATCGGTTTTATTATTTTGCAAGCCTGAAAATATGCACTGAACGCGCTAAAATTTAAATTACCTATAGAAATTGTCGTTTAAAAAAAGAAAAAGAACCAATAGAGTTATAGAGCAGCAAAATTTTAAAGTATAAGCGCGACGAATCCATAGGACACGTTTGATGGAACTGCTATGTGTTTAAAAGGCAAAAAGTGAAGCAAAATTCCATAAAGTCAATTACACTTTGGGTGTTGATGTGATTTGAACTTGAGATTTTCAAGCTGCAATGCCAATATGGTTTGATCCCAGGTTGGACTGAATGTACTGATTACTAGGACATGATGCCCAGGAATGTGAAAAGCCTTCCTCTAATAGTTGGGCAATTTTATTTAGTTCGAATATGAGATAGGATTTGCTATAAACATAAAAAAATAAAACAAAAATCAGAAAAGACGGTGATTTGGGACTAAAACTGGAAAATTTGATTGAACGAC